TTGTCCTGCTGCAGAACCCAAGTTCGCTTCAGCTTGAGGTCACAAACGGATGGCCGGACATTCTCCTCCAGGATATTTTGGTACACAGCAGAATTCATGGTTCCACTTATCACAGCATGTCTTCCAGGGCCGGAAGCAGCAAAACAGCCCCAGACCATCACACTACCACCACCATATTTTACTGTTGGTATGATGTTCTTTTTCTGAAATGCGGTGTTACTTTTACGCCACACATAATGGGACACACACCTTCCAAAAAGTTCAACTTTTGTCTCGTCTGTCCACAGAGTATTATCCCAAAAGTCTTGGGGATCATCAAGATGTTTTCTGGCAAAACTGAGACGAGCCTTTATGTTCTTTTTGCTCAGCAGTGGTTTTCGTCTTGGAACTCTGCCATGCAAACCATTTTTGCCCAGTCTCTTTCTTATGGTGGAGTCATGAACACTCACCTTAACTGAGGCAAGTGAGGCCTGCAGTTCTTTGGATGTTGTTGTGGGGTCTTTTGTGACCTCTTGGATGAGTTGTCGCTGCGCTCTTGGGGTAATTTTGGTCGGCCGGCCACTCCTGGGAAGGTTCTCCACTGTTCCATGTTTTCGCCATTTGTGGATAATGGCTCTCACTGTGGTTGGAATATGATCCAAAGCACATCCGGCAAGTCCACTTCTGAATGGCTGAAGAAAAACAAAATGAAGACTTTGGAGTGGCCTAGTCAAAGTCCTGACCTGAATCCAATTGAGATGGATAAGATGGATAAAGATAAGAAATCAGTAAGGGGGCAAACACTTTTTCACACCACTGTATAAAAGGACTACCTCTGCTGTTTGCACAAACCCAGTATATTCCCCCTTCTTGTTATATTACATGTAAATCTACTGCTGACTGTTTTTACTGTCATATCTGCTGCTGTTGGTCATTTGCACTACTGTCCATGTGCATCTCAGTCTCACAACCATCTGACAGTCTTCTTGTTATTGTTTGCACTGCTGTCACTGATTACATGGTTTGAATCATAGCCTATGAGGTTGTACCGTTTAGCTTTATCCGAATCACTTTTACTTTTCTTATTCTCTTTAGTCTATTTTTACTCTACTTTTATTCTATTTTAGTTTCCTAAATGGTATGGCATTCAGTACTAGGTGAGAAAGAAACGGTATTTCAATTTTCTGTATGTCCTGCACATATAGTGAATGGACAATAAAAATCTTTGATCTTGAAACAATGCAAAATAGACAAGCGGTAAGCAATGCAAACAGACAAAGGAATGTTCATTAGGAAATGAGATAAAAATAGAATAAAAATTGAGTACCTAAAAAATAGAGACATGTACAGATCTGTATAATCTGTACGAGGTTTATTTACAGGTGTTGCACTGAGGGTTACTGTCCAGTCATACGTCATTGGTTAAGTGTTCATCAGAGCGACAGCCTGGGGGGAGAAACTGTCCCTGTGCCTGGTTGTCTTGGTGCACAGTGACCTGTAATGCCATCCAGAGGGGAGGGGTTCAAACAGATTGTATCCGGGGTGTGAGGGGTCTGCAGTGATCCTCTCCGCCCTCCTTTTGACCCGTGAGGTGTACAGGTCCTGCATGGAGAGCAGGCTTTCACCAATGATCTTTTCTGCAGACCTGACTGTCTGTTGGAGTCTGTTCCTGTCCTGTTTGGTAGCTGAGCCAAACCAGACAGTGATGGAGGTGCAGAGAACAGACTCGATGATTCCTCTGTAGAACTGTATCAGCAGCTCCTGGGGCAGGTCGAACTTCCTGAGCTGGAGCCGGAAGTATATCCTCTGCTGCACCTTTTGATTCTTACTAAAACACACTGAAGAAGTGAGAGGATGTGCCTGCAGGTACAGAGGGGAACTGAATCTGTTACAAGACTGTGCTGCTCATAGAAACTGGGTAAGGGGTGATAACCATATAAAAGCACTCAACCATACCCCTAAGCTTGTGGAAATACTTGCAGATCTTGGGCTGCCCACTTCAACCTGCAATAGGGTACTCTTTAACAGACAGACCAGGTGAGGGTGGGAAGCAGGGCATCAGCTGAGCTTATAGCAAGTACAGGAACTCCTGAAGGTTACTGTTTCAGCCCCAGATTGTTTTCTATATACACAGCCAACAACTTTAAATTTACAGACGATATCACCATTCTGCAACTTATAAGCAAGGGGATAGTGCACCCGCCACCAAGGAGCAACTCAGTGTCCCCATAATCCCATAACAGCAACATCCCCATGATAATCTGACCCTCATAATATGACTGCTTCACCATTAAGACCTAGTGCTGGCATTTGGAAAGGTGCTGGCATCTTTATTAGTTTGAAAGTTTTTCAAGGAAAAGGACAGGCATGACAGACATCCACTCGTTGGTTTAGGGGTAAAACAGAGACTTCAGTGACCAGAACAAGGGCAAAGCGGTGAAGATGTCACATTTCTACAAGTCTGTTTTGCTTGTCTAACAACTGTTGATGAACTGCTCATCCAGTGTGTTACTGGCTGATCAATGCACTGTGGACCGATCCTTCACGTCCTCTGCTCAGCTCTGTGTGAGAGGAGTGCAGCCCACCACTGGAGTCATTGAGATCGAAGTACTTCACCTAACTCTGTTATTCTTTTGTATGTAATACTTTATTTCAGAATTGTGCAATGTGTAAAGTGAAAAAGTAGGATTAATTGTAACTATTATAACTGATTCAGATGAGTTCTGGACAGATCCAGCCCTGTCAGTGGGGAGTTAAATATAGAGCACATCCTTATACAGCTCACCAAGATTCATTCCGATTTCTTTTCTTGCATTTTACGGTGTTTAGGACCACCACCTTAACCGGGGTAGACCACTGGTATATTTTTATTTTTAATAGTCATTTCCTGCTGTGAGAATGGAGAAAATATTAAACGGAATTTAGTTAATGTGATAAATGTTAATGTGATCTGACTCTGATAAACACAAAACTAAACCACCAACACATAATAAATAAAGGACTTTAATGTTTCAACACTGTAAATATATCCAGAACACATGTAGTAAACATAACTGTACACAATAATAGGATATATTTTATTTCCATACTTGGACTGTTATTTCAAGTATGCAGATCATATATGTTGCAGTGCTTTCTTGGTAGATGGAAGAATATTCAAAGAATAAACAGCATAGAAGTTATCTGGAAGCATCCCATCATGCAGTGCAGTATAATGCAAATAACTTTGGTATGTTGTTGACCAAAAAGCATGTTAATTCATTTACAAAAGCAGAGAAAACAGCATCTGGATCCATGTGGATGTCAAATACAAAAGTTGGACTTATTCTAAACATATGAAATTAACAAACCAGAGAGGAATCTGTTCCTGCTTCTTGTAATATGTAAAGTTTGTGGATTCTCCTGCTTAGTGTTTTCCCCCCTCATCATGTTGAAACTATAACTGTGTTTAGGGATTGATTCTTATTTTCCCATCACAAGACATTGTTTACTCAACATTAATAATCATATGCTGTTCCTTTATGTCAGTGTCGATCTGAGGGCAGCAGCTCATTTTAAGGTTTTCATTTAACTCTGTGAGGACATTTAAGCTGCTCTTTATGAACACTATAGCTGCCTGTTTCAAGTGAAGATGTCCGACTGTGGAGATTAGTTTCACATTAACTGCAGATTTGAGCTCTTTAGTGTCTCTGTACAGTTTAATGGATGATTAGAAACCACAAGGCAAACCTGCTGACCTCTGAAATCTTTACGTTTATTTTCATCCATCAGGTGCAGGTAACCTGCCCTGAAACAGGTCTCCTGAGTGATCTGGATCAGTCTGAGTTAAAACGCTTCACATGACATTATCTCAGCCAGGTCCTCTTTGAAAAAGAGGGTTTTAATCTCAATGGGGCTTTTTTAAGATGGTAAAATAAAGGTCACATAAATAAAAAACAAAGAAATGAGCTCATGTTCTTAAAAATCTAAAACTACTGATGAACTTGACTTTTGAAGAAACATCTGACCTTTGAGATCTAAATGCTGTTTTTCTGCCACTGAACAGCAGCTGAGAAACAACACAACACTGCAGTGTGCAGAGGATAAAGTGATTGTTGCTAACAGTCTATAACTGTACACATTATTACTGTAAATCCATTCAAGTTTCAGCTACTGATTACATCGACAACTTGTCATTACATTCAAAGGTCATTCATTAACAGACACTCAGCATTAAAGGATGCGGCCGGTAATTTTCTACATGAACCGTAGTTTCAACAATCCCCATCCATCCATCCATCCATCCATCCATTTTCCTCCTCTTATCCGGGACCGAGTCGCGGGGGCAGCAGTCTAAGCAAAGATGCCCAGACTTCCCTCTCTCCAGACACTTCCTCCAGCTCCTCCGGGGGAATGCCGAGGCGTTCCCAGGGCCAGTCGAGAGACATAGTCCCTCCAGCGTGTCCTGGGTCTTCCCCGGGGCCTCCTCCCGGTGGGACATGCCTGGAACACCTCCATATGAAGACTAAAACAAACAGTGAGCTGCCTCTGCTCATGGTTTCAGTCTTTGTATGGGGATGTTTGAAAATACGGTTCATATAGAAAATTATCCGGCCTCATCCTTTAACATGTGTGAAGCTTCAGTGTGACTCCTCCCCTTTTACATCACTTGCTGTGTGTCTGACTCGCAGGAAATACTGAACTGTCAGAAATTTACATTCACCTCCTCCACTTTTTAATGTTTTATCACTTGTTAGGTTTAATTGTTTTCATGACAAGCCTAAAAACATTTTAGAGCCAAAAAAGAAAAAAGACAACACACTGACTTATTTAAAAATATTAAACAAAACTGGTTGCTGAACTTGCCATGCTGTTACAATATAAAGTTAAACTACTGAGATTCAGTATAACAATAAAACATGAAGGAGGTGTGTCCTTTTTACACCTTTCTAGCCTCTCACATACAAACATGCACATATAACATTTTTACTGCAGATTAAACATTCCTCTGAGTCAAATACTAAAATTGATCAATAATGTTCTGATCAATATTTTACTATTGCTAAGATTCAGTCACAGCAAAAAAAAAAAAAAAAAAAATTAACATCTGCAACAACATTTTGTTTAAAAAAACCGCAACACTTCTAAACCTGAAAAAAGATCATTAAAAAAAACTAAAAAATGTTTCAAATAACTTACATTTGTCTAAAATGATGTGAATGTGAAGAAAAATGACCTGAAACTGGCAAAGTGGGGGTTCCAAGTTACCGGTTACTAGGTGAGGTTAACGCTTCTTCACGTGGCTCTGAGTCAGTTCTGAATGTTAGTTTAACATTTGTTTACAAAGACAAACCAGCTGTAAATAAACAACACAACTAAGTCATTTGTTCCACCTAAAAATAAAACCTGGTCTAAAGTTGTGTTTGTGTGTGGGTTTCTACTCAAAGAAAAAACCCTGACAATGTATATTTACAGTATCGCTGTAGTAGTTTTACACATACATATACACTGTCAGTGAAAATTTTGGCTTGACTGACTGACTGGTAGTGCATATATACGTAACAGTATACAATGAAGTGATGCACAGGACACACACATGCAGAACACCAGAAACCAGTTTCACATGTTTATAGTAAAAGACTCCAATTTCATTTTCTGAAAACCGCTGTACTGTAGAACCTGTACAGTAAACGCAGCACTGTACTGCGGCAGAATCACATTATAGAGTTTTGAACTGTAATTTAAAAATGTTCATCACTTAAATGTCAACCTCATTTTAAATGAAACCTGCTCTCTGTGTTACTGCAGCCAGACAGTATTTATGCTTTCTAACCCACTGTGCATGTGAAACAGGTGAAAATAAATCTGTCTGGAGCACTTACTGCCTGACCTGATGATACACTCCGACATTAAGCTTTAAAACAAGTGTACTTTGAATTCAGGTAAAGGGCCAACTTAATGAGGACAAACTGATCTGTTTTGACTAATCTAACAGATCTTTCTTTTGTGACGTGTTTCTTTTATATTTAAAAAAAACATGCAGCTTCAAACAGTCACACAAACACTGATCACCTGTGATGTCACCAGTCTGAATGCGTTTGTGTTGCCATCACATGTGTTTACTGTGTCATTGCTGATGTTTTTCTGTGAAACTGAAACTGGTGCAACTCTAACAGTGCTGCTGCAGACACTGCAGGTCTTCACACAGGTGACACCTGATTGTATGCGGGTGCTTCCAAGTCTTTTTCCAGGTTTTCCAGGATATGATTAGAGCCTTTTAGTTTTTACTCTGTGAAGTGAAAATGGAAGACATAATTCACTCCAACATCAGTTCCGTAAGCTTTAACTTGTTCATTCATTCATTCATCTCTTCATGCATTGAGGTGAAACTTTATACTGTACTCTGACTGGTCAGATGGCTGCTGTGATTCATTATTGCATCTCTCAGCTTCAGCTTCTTCTCTTCATAAACAACAGCTTCAGAAACATCTGCTTGTTTTCTTCTTTAATTTTACTTCCTCTTCTGTTTCCCTTTGTTTGTCCTGCAGCAGATTCTGCCCCTGGTGGTGTCAGAAGAGCATACTCCGCCTTCTGGTTGGACTGTTTGCTGGGGGTATTTCAGAAAGCAGGTTAAGTGAAAACACAAAGTTTCTTCACACCGAAATGAGGAGAACTCAGGGTTTTCAGTTCCAGAAACACAGGTCACTTGAACTCTGACTCAATGACCACTGTAACTTACTCTGAGAATCTAACCTGCTCGCTGGCAGGTTTTCCTCAACAAACCCAGAGCTTCTCTCTGTCTCCTCCTTCCTGCTTCATTTCTTCATTCATAAAGGTCATATTGAAGCACAGATCAGAGCGTCTTAGTTTTCAGAAATGTACGTCAGCAGAAGAGGATAAAAATCCCAGTTCGATACCAGCCTGATAGTTTGTTATCCAAGACCTGTCTTTACTAATGCGATTGCTTCTATGATCAGTCGGTGTAAAGGCAGCGATGTGTCCTCACATTTATATAATGGTAAATGGACTGTATTTATATAGCGCATTTTTCACAGTGTGTTGCACTGGCCAAAGCGCTTTAGAGGAGATCATACACCATTCACACACACATTCACACACCGATGACAACAAGGCTGCCACACAACGGCGCTAGTCAAGCCACCGGGAGCAATTTGGGGTTCAGTGTCTTGGTCAGGGACACTTAGGCATGTAGGGAGACCGGGAGTCGAACCACCAACTTGCTGGTCAGAAGACGACTTGCCCTACCTCGTGAGCCACAGCCACCCAGTGTAGTGTACTAGACAGCGATTAATCCCCAGACAGAATATATCGCCAGCTAAGAATAAAATCTACACAGTCTGTCTTTCTAACACTGTGACTCTATGGACATGAAGACGTCTAAAAACCTACTGGGTTTAACCTTACCCCTACTGAAAATCACCTAAACTATTAATGCTGGGTCACACTATGAGGTTAGATCCTACACATAAAGATCTAAATACATTTGTGTTTGATCTGTTTGATTTCATCTCCTGCTGCCAGCAGCATTTTGTCTCCCTCAGCTTACAGCGGAATAAATATAGCCTATTAAAATTACTGTAATAAACAGTAGGCTTCACCATCCATTAAAGAAATCCCAGTCGGCTAAACAAATTAACGAGATGACTACACTGAATAAAATGTAACAATTTTAACACCGATCTGTTCTTCACTCCAATTCAGGCTCTCTACCTCCTGATAAATGTGCATTAATGCCGCACAGTATTTCTGCTCCTCTGGATTAAAATGGCAGCTCTGCTTCTAATATACTCATTACCATGGTGAATCATAGGAGCTCCCATAAAAATTTCTTTCTTTCTATAGTCACCACACACAAGCTGAAATCTCAGTGAGTCACCTCAGAGTTAATTACACTCACTCTGATCAGCTGTTCAGGAACCGAAAACTCAGAGTTTCCCCCTGTCAGGGTTGGTCAACTCACAGCTTAAGTTTAGGTTCAGTGTCTGTTGAACCACCTACCCTCACTGGACAAAAGAAAAACGAAATCCCAAATTCAGTAAACAGCTCTGTGTCAGATTGTAACTGGATTTCAGTCATATCATGAGTTCCCTCCACAAACGGAGTTGCCTCTTTTGAACTTGTGATGTTCAGAAGCTCCAGAACAGCTACTAATGGACATCACCGGCTTCAACAGCTTCAGTGCACCATGGCACTGACTCTCCAAGTTTCTGAACTCTCCTGGAGGGATGAACACCGTTATTCCAATGGATGTTCCCTCATGTGGTGTTTAGATGATGCTGGTGGAGATGCTCTCTAACCTCTAATCCACACAGAAAGCATTTTTGGAAGCGTTTTCTACATGCATCTCACAATACAGGTAGAATTTCATTTTATCAAATGTGTCAATCCACACTGAATCTGAGACTCGTGTCTCACACGCATCCGCCCTTGAACCCTCGTGTTTTTTACACTGTCTTTTTTCCCTCTGCTGCTTTTATTGAAGTGTAATCTCCACAGTCAGCTGTTTAAATCACATTAATCCTGTTGTTTTCTGTTTTTCACTGCTATCTCTTACAAGTGATTGAGCTGTTTGAGTTTCACTTTCACCCTCTGTAGAGCTGGAGAAAATAAAAACCTATAAATCCATAGATGACATTTAGACCACGTTCACACTGCAGGCTGAAGTGACTCAAATCCGATCTTTTTGCCCAAATGCGACCCATATCCGATTTCCTTATGACAGTGTGAACAGCACAAATCTGATTTTTTCAAATCCGGCCCAGGCCACTTTCATATGTGGTCCTAAACCGAATACATATCCGATGCTTTGCAATTCGACTTCAGTCTGAACGGCCAGGTCGCATTTCATGCGATTTTTATGTCATTGAAATGCGACAGACCTCACAATTCTGCGCTGGAGGAGGCGAGGGGTAATAAAAAAATGGCAGACAATGGTGATTCAGGTGGTGATAACGTTTCCCTTCTCACTCGGAAATTATTAATGAATTCTGTGTCCGTGAAGCCCCTCACGGAATCCCACCAGTCCTGGCTCCGACTCCGCACCCACACATTCCTCTGTACAGAGGTAGCAGCCACTGCTCCACAAAAGGCCATAAGCAATATTTGTGCTCTCCTTCTTCTTGATATTCTTATTATTATTATTATGTCTCTATTTCGATTGCAAATTGTCAGGTACATCGCTACGCACATGCTATCACGAGCCACATCCATTTTTATTTCCGCAAACACAGTACGCTGCGTCTGACGTCACGTCCTCTTCTGCGCACGCGGGTCACTTCAGGGCCGTATACCGTTCACACATGAGACAGATGGCAGTCACATTTAAATGACAGTGTGAACAACAGCGCAAAAAAATCTGATTTCGGCAAAAAGTCCGATCTGAGCATTAAGACCTGCAGTGTGAACGTAGTCAAAATGCGATTTTCTTCCTGATGATCTCACACGAAAACAATTTTTGTCCAGTACACTTTTTGTTGGTCGGCCTGGTAAAGACTCTTTCTCCGGCTGCTGTCCTGCTGACAGACAGATTGCTGTTCTAATGACTAAAGAGACAGAATGCACCGCTTATGTCTGGCTTTCAGTGTGGATTGAATGGAATCACACTTCAGTAGAGCTTACGTCTTGCTCATGTCTCGCTTTCAATGTGGATTCCTGGTAACATTTCACTCCAGCATCTCCCATAGGTGTTCAACTGGGCTGGGACCTGGTGACTGGGAAGGCCACAACATACAATTCACATCATGTTTATTCTCATCAGACCGTTCAGTGACCCCTCGTGTCCTGTGTATGGGGGCACCGTCATGCTGTAGGAGACCACTCACTTAATCAGGATTCTCTTTTCACGTCACCCACCTGAAGATCAATGTGTGTATCTATATTATAAAACCTACTTGTATGTAATATATTCAGCTGGTCTCAAGCCTGTATAAAATGGAATGGTTGTGTCACGAAGGGCATCTGGTGTTAAAAAAAACTGCCAAATCACATATGCAGATCACTGAGATCAGCTGTGGCAGCCCCCGAAAAACTGGAGAGCAGCCAAAAGAGGAACAACATATACAATATATTCTATGTAATATACAGGGTTATTCAAAAAGAATGAACTGATTTCACTATGCAATATTTTTTTAAGTAATACAAAACTCCAGCCAAGTCACAAGTATTCTACTCACAATCAACTTTTATTTCATGTCTTACAAGTGTTCAATGTGGCCACAACAACAGCGATCAACTGAGTGGATTGTGATATGCTAATACGCGCCTGGGAGGAATTCTCTTATCGCATTGGTGTTGCCCGTGCTGCAGATGGTGGCCACATTGAACACTTATAAGACAGGAAATAAAAGTTGATTGTGAGTAGAATACTTGTGACTTGGCTGGAGTTTTGTATTACTTTTCCTTAATAAAATATTGCGTAATGAAATCGGTTCATTTTTTTAAATAACCCTGTATATATACACACATATATAATAATTGTTTCTCACTGACTTTGTGAATGGTTATTGCAGTGGGTCATAACAAACTAATATAGGGAGGAGTTTTCAGCATTGTGATGATATTTTGGCTGGTTCCCACTACTTCAAATGGTCCAAACCAATTTGAACTTTCGGGTTAGAGTCCAGGTCAGGACTTTGCTAGGGAATGCATTAAATCAGTGAAGGTCCTCAGAGAGAAAGATGAACCAGTGTGTGTGTGTGTTACCTTGGTTAGGTGTTGCTGTTGGCTTGGTGGTTTCTTTTTCCAACTGAATCTCTGGCAGACTGAAGATGGACGTGGCTGAAAGTACAATCAGAGTGACTTTGTGGTGTCACAGTACACAGTAACATCACAGACTCAAAACAAGGTTCAAAATTCTTTTCAACTTACTGTCAGGAAGTAGCATCACTCTGTGTCCAAGGTTACTAAAGTAACGATGATTCATCGAGTCATCTGCTGAAATCCTCTTCTTCCCCTCAAACTAAAAGTTGAAAATAAAATTAATACTTTATCATCCAGTCACTGGTTTCCCCACGATGTCATCATACATTAAAAACTGGCTCATTTGAGATGATCTATGTCTGATCACAACTAGGGGTGGGAGTATATGCGTATATGCTGGCCATACCATAACTGTTCAGGCAATGTTCAATTCGCCTAAATGCTTGCTTAAGGAAGAGCCTTTTTCGTTATAACAAGATGCTGTTCTATGAGATATTTTGAGATATGATCATGATAAAACTTGAGTTTTCTTTTTATTATGACATACTGTATTTTCTCCTTATAAGGACAAACGCTCCTTTATTTTCTCATTGTAACGTGAGCTCTGCACAGTGTGGAGCGAGGCAGTGCACACACATTGAGCAGTACGCTCATTCGGTTTAGCAGCCCCCTCTCTCTCATTTCAACTTTCTACACAGCGACCAGCGCTGGGCCCAGGAGCTGCGCTCCAGCCAGGCCTTAAAAATCACTGATCAGATACTTAAATCCACGCCCAACAATTATCCCACAAAATAACACATAGATGCAGCTCATGAGCAAATACCCTGCACATATCCTGATTATGTTTCAGGCATCACTGACAACAGGTGATGTCAGCGTGGCTGCTGTCTCTCACACCAGGCCACACAGGGTTCACGTTAGGGAGCAGACATGATATGATCCAGTTTAGGGGTGTGTGGTATCATGTTAGAGCAGCTCATACATTTGAAACTACACACAATATATTGTTCATGCAATGAACACCAGACACAATGGCCTAATACTTGATGTGCACGGTGCTTACAGGATTAAGGCTGCAGGCGCCACTGTTCATACAGCTGTATAACTTCCCACCGTTAACTAGTGTTCATAGCTCAGCTGCAGATCACACAGGCCAACCTGCCTTCTCCCCATCTGGTGTGGGTTAAATAAAGCTTACAGATTTGCATCAACACTCAGTCGTGGAAATTCCTCTGTTCCTCTGTTCACTTTCAAAGCACAGTCAAGTTTAAGGGCCTCATTACATTATTTAATTTTTACTTACACTGTTTCAGTCCATTTTTAATCTTTTGCTGGATTTCAAGTTCTGCCGGTACTTTTCCATCTTGTAACATCAAACTTCTGGCAGGTCTACCAGTGTGTGAAGGCCAGAAGGTTAAATACCAGTTGAAAGATTTTGTAACGTCATCCATAAATTAAGATATTTTCACCTTATTGCCTGAAGAAGCATCGGATAGGCACACAGAGTCCCTCTGCAGTGGAGCAAAGCCACCCCATGACAGCAGCACACAGACTGACTTGACCTGCTCTCAAAAATCCTCTAAGACACTGATCAGGCATGCACTGCTTTGTATTATTTATCAATTCAGTTCCATTCAATTCAGTTTCATTCAAAAAGTCATCTCTGGGCATTTTACAAAGTAGTGTCTAGACCTTACTATTATTATTATTATTATAGGGGAAAACCCAACAAATCCCCCTTGAACAGCACTTGGCAACAGCGAGGAGGAAAAACTCCCTTTAACAGAAGAAACCTCCGACAGACCCCGGCTCTTGGTGGGCGGCCTTCTGCCTCAACCAGTTAGGGTGAGTGGATAGAGGAGAGGGAAAAGAAAAATAAAGCAACAAGACACAACAAACAATCAACAATGGGCAGGTTGATGTGGCCGGTGACTGCTCATCAGAAACGTAGAGCTCCAGAGCCAGGGCAACCTGCAGAACTTTATTTAAAATTTTGCCCCAAAAGCTCCAAATGGCTACAAGTTTTTACAGCACCACATAAGCAAGAGTCAGCTGCACATGTGTGAAATCTATGTGAAAGAGCAAGGAGCTAGTGTACTACAAACAGAGCAGAGAGCTTGCATGGAGGTCTTTTGCATGCACAGCTGACTCTTGCTTTGTCCCCCCACAATTTATTGTCTTTTGATGGAGCACTGTCGGCTTTATCTGCTCTTCAGCAAGCCATTTTCAGTGTTCTGGAAGCACTGCACTTTATAAATGTGAAGATGAGGAATGGAATTATGTTCTAATAGCACTGGCTCCTAAATTGTTTTTATTTTTGCTGAGTGGTGCTTCAGTCGGTTTGCTACACCAAAACTGCACTGTCATATAAAAGAACATAACTAAAGCAGCTTTTACTGGAGACTAGGTCTGAGCTGAATCAATTTGTCTGATAACATTTTATAAAAAGGGGGTCAGTTCTAAAGGGGTGCAAATGTTGCTGTGACTTCTGAATGGTGTCCCCTTCCTGCTCTTTTGCCTGGGTTCAAAGTCTTATTTTCGAAATGACAATAAGCATACACACATTACTCCATGCATCCATACAATGCATACACCACTGATTTGACTGATTCTCACACTCCATATGTATTTGTCCTTTCCTTTTATTGTGTGCTGGAAATAAATCATCTTAATTGGCATTAAAACCTGGTTGCAACCCCCCTTTTTGTCACTGGCTATCAGCCAGCTTGTGACAGCGGAAACCAGACTCCCACCTGCTGTGGTCTGCTTTTAAGGTGAGGAACAGTTCATCTTAAATGAGCCTAATGTCACATTACTGTTTATTTTTTCAGATATAATGATGTCACATCCTGTTTGTAAGATGTTTACTGACCTGCAGGAACTCTGACAACAGCTCCACTCCTTCACTGCTGAGCCTGGTATACAACACACACAGAAACACGTTGTTATTTGGTGCAGTTTGATAACATTTTATCCAATGTAAAATTTGTGATGTCTGAGTGACGTTCTGTTCACTGGATGAGAGTTGATGGGTCAAAGGTTGTGCCATCGGCCTTTACAATACATATATTGATTATTTAGACTTAATAATATTGTGCTGAATTAGATGTTTAAAATAAGCAGCAGCTTAATTTTTTTTAATTTAAAATATATTAAATCACTTGCTACCTCCCCACATTTAGTCTATTTTTTGCCTGTACTCATACTCGTGAAATAATACAAACATACTGAAAAGTGAATTAATATAAACATTTTCTTCCCATTGCACACCATTTTTTGTGGGTAACCCAACCCAGGGCAGGACTCTGCTCTGCTGCTCTGTTCACATCTAAACAGTTAGCTATTAGCTATTACAAGATCATAGTTATCACATGATGGCAGTGGATGACAGACTGCTGGCAAAGCTGAAAGTATTACTTCTCTCCAGGTTTACAGCTGTTTTGATAAATAGCCTGCATTTGCTATTTAACTTGTGGAGGGTTCGTTGCATGTACAATAATGAGCTTAAGTGCTGTCACCTTGATTAATTTCTCACTTCACCCGGGCTCACGCTCAGACACCGTCTGCTCAGAGTGTGAAGGAGCTGAGCCCCGCCCACCAGCACTAGAGGAGAATTTGCTCCAGAGGCACTGTATTTTCTGATCCACTAACCTCACTCACTGGTCTCTTTTGAGTACTGATGAAAAGCTCCCTGCCCTTATAAACCAAGAGCCCAAGGAATTCGAAGTCAGTCGGACCTGTGCGCCACAAATAACTTTTCATATTTGCACGCACTGTTTTATGCAAGTGAAACACCTTGAGCGGGTGACTGAGAACAACTGGTGTAATCTGACAATGAGGGTTTTTTTTATTGGCCCTCTGTTCCCATTATGGTTTGTCTAAAGGAATCATCATGCTGGAGTGTGATGTGGTTCATTTGTGTACCTGAACACATGATATCAAAGGTCAGCAATCCCAACAAAAGACATATACTCAGATATGTGGTTGTAAGTCTTTGAGGGCCCAGCAGAGCTGTCAGCTGATCACCACCTGGTGGTGAGTTGGATCAAGTGGAGCCTGCTTAGATAGACCAGGCAAACCTAAACAGGTCAAGACAGTAAACTGGGAATACCTGAGGGAGGACCCTGCCTGTGAGGTCTTCGACTCCCCCCGGGGTTAAGTTTGGAAACATCTTCAAATCCTGCATCGCAGAGGTGAGTTCTCAGAGTCAGAAGCTCATTGGTACCTGAGTGTAGTACTGTTGTGTGCCAGAGGGTAGTTGTGTACCTGTATGTAGTATTGTGTACCTGGGAGTGTGGTTACTCAGTGTGTCTGCTCTGTATTGAGGGTAGTTGTATGTTACAAACTCCTCATTGGAACTGATCCCAGGCCAGCTCTGCTCTGTGGGAGTACCTGCACACAAAATACACACAATATATTACATAAAGTATACACAAATGCATAAAAGAATTTTTGTGAATAAAAATAACAGAAGCTGATTGGCTGTCAGTGATGATGAAACAGAAGTTGATTGGCTCTCACCCAGCAGTTTGAAGATGAAGTGTAGCTCCTCCTCAACAGTGGAGCCAGGAAACAGCGGACGACCTGTTGCCATCTCATAGAAGATACACCCAACACCCCTACCGAGAGACAGACAGGTCAGCTGAGCATGAGTCTCATCAGAACAACAAAGAATAGAAATTGCTGTCAGCTGGTCACAGCATCGCGGTCAATGTTTGTAGTAGTACTACAATATAACTATTTTTTTTTTATATATATACATACATATACACACAATATAACATCATGGCAGCATAGTACTACAATATAACTACTACAATATAACAACAATATACTACAACATGGCGCCCACTGAGACAAATGTGTTTGCACGTTCCACTCTTGAATGCCGGCTTTTTCTTCGTTTTCTTCTTTTTTGTGTGTTTTTTGATTTTTCTGCAGTGCACAAATGTCATGCACTGCTTACATACAACATACAGGCATCGCTGGATATCACCAACTCACAAAGCCACTGGGAATTTACTGGTTTCATACTACCAGAGCTACAACCCATCGTCCGCTCCAGCTCCGGCGACAATAACAACAATGGCAAGGAAAGCCACCATCGCCCCCGGAGCACCAGGCACAAGCGAGCAGGCTGAAATCAGGAGAGCAACCCGGAGACGGAGACGCAAACGGGGCAGGCGAGGAGGACTCCATGCTAGGCTAAAAGCTCATGCTACTCTACCGCCATTACCCAGCCTCTTCCTTACTAACGTACAGTCTCTGGAAAACAAACTGGACGAGCTAAGGGCTAGGATTACAACACAAGGGGAAATCAGAGAATGCTGTGCTCTAGTTCTCACAGAGACTTGGCTTTCTGACAGAGTTCCAGACTCAGCGATTCATCTACAAACACATTCTGTACATCGAAGTGATTGCACTGCTGCTTCAGGGAAGGTAAAAGGAGGTGGTGTGTGTGTGTTTATTAATAACTCATGGTGTCCTAACCGCTAATCCTCTGGTTAGGAAACAACCCGCTCTACTTCCTGAGCCACAGCCGCCCCACACTATACTACAGCAGTACTAACCACATGTCGATGTGAGTGGAATAGTCGGTGCTGCCCAGCAGAATGTCTGGGGGTCGATACCACAGCGTCACCACCTCATTAGAGTATGTCTTTGTAGGGATTGACTTCGCTCGAGCCAAACCTAAAACACACACAACACCTCAGTGACATAACCGCTGTGTTTACAACTGAGTGAATAAACACAAATCACAATGAGACTACTGCTGTATTTTTAGTTTTGTTTTTTGTATTTTTTTAAGCCTGAAAATGAGATGTAGTGTAAAAGTGGTTTTCAGCCTATGGTGGAAGATCAGCAGTGACTAGGCTGTTGTGTTTTCCACTTCCAGCTGCAGAGGTCTGAGGACAAGTGTCAGTGGTCTGGGGACTAGCTTCAGAAGTCTGGAGGCAGACTTGGGGACTCCAGTAAGGAGGGAGGTGCAGTAGTCCAGGTGGGAGATGACAAGTCCTGGATGAGCACCTGGACTGTGTCCCTAGTGTCGTACAGGATTAATCTTCAGGAGCACAATACTTTTGATTTATGTCTCATTAGGATGATTAAACTCGCGTCTGTGGTTTGTGGTAAAGCTGCCAGAATTACTCAATAAAGAAAAGAATGCAGCCGAGACCATTATTAATAAGTACACATGCTGTCCATGTTAACGTGCATTATATGTTCACACATATGATCTGTGTTAACATGTGTCTGATTAAACCAGCAGCACAGACCAACTTACCAAAGTCTGCCAATTTGAGCTCTCCTCGCTCGTTGATCAACAGGTTTTGGGGTTTCAGGTCTCGATGAAGAACTTTTCTGCAGTGGCAGTAAGACAAACCTCGAAGCAACTGGAAAAGAAAGAGCTAAGCAAAGAAAAAATAAAACAATTACTAAAGAAAACGGACAGGTAATACGGACGATCACAGATAAAGTGGAATACAAAGAGCTGAGGAGAGAAAACCCAGTACAAAGGATTGTTGTCAAGCAGGTTCAGACAGAATAGAGCCAGTCCAGAACTGTTAAGTCCAGTTAAAAACAAAAATAGAATTAAACATTGTACTCACTGAACAGACTTCTTTTAAATATGTCAAAGACTGAGAAGCTTTCTTCCCCTGAAGTCATCTTTTCAGATTCAGCATCCTGCCAGGTGTATCAGACCTGCAGCTCAGATGTGGCAGGCTACTAGCTGAAAATCTTTTTATTGAGTCACTGATTTGATTTACCCCTTGTAGCTCCCAATGTCCACAGTGAAATTAGACTGAGTGACAAACAACAGATTTCAAAAACTGTCAAATGCAAAACACTTAGAATCCAGTGACGGTTGCTGGACTGCTGTTCTGCAGGTGAGTGACAGATGTATCACTTCAATCACATCACACCCTTCGCCACTGAGCTCACAGAACGCATTATTTTACCTATACCCAGTTATTTACGGTGGTCAAGTGTTATGTGCAGTTATATCAGCATCAATGTTGTAACATCAGTCATTACATTTTCAAAATGTAAACGTGTGTAAAGCAGCAGAAACACTGACAATCAGCTGTATAAGTGTAGCGACAGGAATCGTTTTCTTACTTTGACGTTGTGAACATGGATCAGGTTTCCACAGTCGTCCAAGTACTGTTTCAGATCTTTGTCCTGAAACACAAAACGTATAAAGACACACATTGGCCTTTCTCAAGGCCCTCACAAAAATAAAACAACCCTTAGCCCCTAACCCTCACCAAAACCTGAACCCATCTCTAAAGGTTCAACACACTTAGTAAAAAGAACTGTGTGCAGTAAAGTGTGCTTGTGTGCATGTATCTCACCAGATACTCAAACACCAGTGTGAGGGACTTTTGCGTGTGGATGATGTCATGAAGCGTGACGATGTTGGCGTGTTTCAAATCCTTCAACAGAGACACTGAGGGGAAAGTACACACATTAATTAGAACTGAGATCTGCCCCAACCAGAGCACTTTTAAAACTTTTTCTGCTGCTTTTAATTTATGTCTTTTAATTCCACTCAGCATTGCACTTTATCTGCTTTGGGACAATGACCCAAAGCAGAACTCAAACGGCACCAGAAATGGTTTCAGACAATGTACTGGAGAGTTCTGATGTGGCCCGCAATGAGTCCAGATATAAATCCCATAGAGCTCCTGTGGAGTTATTTGTTGACTGAATCAGATTTGGCTTTTTTCTCTGCTTTTTTGTACTGTTCCAATGCAAACAACAGGAAAAAAAATGAGAATAGCAAAGAATTTTTTGAGAGAAGTGGTGATTATCTGATGGAAATGCAGGGATGTCAATATTTTTGGCAACGACTATCTCACTATAATGAGATACTAATATTCTGGCCTTCTCATGTATGGAGCAGGGGAGGACAAAAATACAGACACACCTCTGAATATAATATAGTCCAGTACACCACCTTTAACTATGACCTCAATAATAAACATATTATTACAATTTCAACAAAAACAAACATTTTGAGCTTAAACACAAATGTTACGGTAGAGATGTTGCTATTCATGCTTATATCAGCTCTCATCTTGATTACTGTAACGCCTTGTATGCTGGGATTTTCTGTAGATCCCTAGCCCATCTCCAATCTGTTCAGAACGCGGCTGCTCGCCTCTTAAATACGCAGAAACGTGAGCATATAACATGTTTTTTTTTTTTTTTGCACTCCACTGGCTTCCTGTCTGTCAGAGTCATTTTAAAGATCTTACTGTTTGTTTTTAAAGCACTGCATGATCTTGCACCACCTTATACTGTATCTCTGAGCTCATACAAGTTTATAATCCTAAAAGAATGCTAAGATCTGCTAATGAGCTACTTAACATTCCCAGATCCAGACTGAAATCCTGTGGAGACAGGATGTTTACAATGGGGGTTCCTAAGCTCCAAAACAACATTCCCTATGGATGTTAAATCCTCTCGCAATCGAAGTATTTTAGATCTCGTCTTAAGACCTAATTATTTGCACAGTCATTTGAATCAAATCAAATCAAATTTTATTTGTATAGCGCCAAATCACAACAAAATTCATCTCAGGACACTTTACAAAATAAGGTCTAGACCTTACTGTTATCACTATTATTACATAGGGAAAACCCAACAAATCCCCCTTGAGCACCACTTGGCGACAGTGGGGAGGAAAAACTCCCTTTAACGGAAGAAACCTCCGACAGACCCCGGCTCTTGGTGGGTGGCCTTCTGCCTCGACCGGTTGGGGTGAGTGGATAGAGGAGAGACAAAAGAAGAAAAGCAACAGGACACAACAAACAATTGAACACTGGTCAGGTTGATTTGGCTGGTGACTGCTCATCAGAGATGTAGAGCTCCAGGGCCAGGGCAACCTGCAGAAAGGTACAGGGAGAGAGAGAAAGAGAGAGGACACACTACAGGAGAGAGAGAGAGAAGACACGTTACGGGAGAGACAGAGCACACACTACGGGAGAGAGGAGACACAAAGTTAGTGATGTGTAATGGTGGCATATAGAAGCATATGGAGAGAGGAAAGAAGAGGAGAGGGGAGGAGAGGGGAGGGGAGGGGAGGGGAGAGAAACTCAGAGCATCATGGGGCCCCCCAGCAGCCTAGGCCTATAGCAGCATAACTAAGGGAAGGCTCAGGGTCACCTGATCCAGCACTAACTATAAGCTTTATCAAAAAGGAACGTCTTAAGTCTAATCTTAAAGGTAGAGAGGGTGTCTGCCTCCTGAACTGAGACTGGGAGTTGGTTCCATAGGAGAGGAGCTTGATAGCTAAAGGCTCTGCCTCCCATTCTGCTTCTGTGGACTCTAGGAACCACAAGTAAACCTGAGAGCAAAGTGCTTTGTTGTGATGAAGCTCTATGAGGTCTTTAAGATACGATGGAGCCTTGTCATTAAGGGCTTTGTATGTTAGGAGAAGGATTTTAAATTCTATTCTGAATTTTACAGGGAGCCAGTGGAGAGAAACTAATATGAGAGAGATATGATCTCTCTTGCTAGTTCCTGTCAGTACTCTGGCTGCAGCATTTTGGATTAACGGGAGGCTTTTTAGGGAATTATTGGGACATCCTGATAGTAAAGAGTTACAGTAGTCCAGCCTGGAAGTAACAAATGCATGGACCAGTTTTTCAGCATCACTTTGAGACAGGATGCTCCTAATTTTTGCAATATTGCGCAGGTGAAAGAAGGCAGATCTAGAGACTTGGCTTATATGTGATTTAAAGGACATATTCTGATCAAAGATGACTCCAAGGTTCCTCACAGTAGTACTGGAGGCAAGAGCTATGTCATCTAAAGTAACTATATGATTAGACAGCAGATTTCTAAGGTTTTCAGGCCCAAGCACAATAACGTCAGTTCTGTCAGAGTTTAGAAGTAAGAAGTTACAGGTCATCCAGGCCTTTATGTCTTTAAGACATGCTTGAAGTTTGACCACCTGATCTGATTCATTTGGTTTCATAGATAAATATAACTGAGTATCATCTGCATAGCAATGGAAATTTATGTTGTGCTTCCTGATAATATTACCTAAAGGGAGCATGTATAAAGTGAAGAGAATTGGACCTAACACAGAGCCCTGTGGAACGCCGTGACTAACTTCAGTTTGTGTGGAACATTCGTCATTAACATGAACAAATTGAAATCTTTCTGATAAATAAGATTTGAACCAACTTAGCGCAGTTCCTTTAATCCCAATAACATGTTCAAGTCTCTGCAGTAAGATGCTGTGATGTGTTTTTGACTCGGCTTGTTCCTCTGACTATTCTGTTCTGCCTTGCCCTCTTGCTTCAGACTGTCACTGTGTATAATTATCGGACTTCCCTTTGGACTACGTATTTGGATTCCTCTGCTGTATGTGTTTGCTGGCTCTGATCTCGGACTGTTTATACCGACCTGTGATTTTTGTGTTTCACCGTGTCTTGTATGGTTTTGTTTAGCGTTAGTTCTCTTATTAAAGAGACGGTTTTGTTTTACATTTCCTTGTCTGGCCTTTTAATTGAGTTCACCCTCAACATTTTTGGCAGCATAACGCGCCGATTCCTGACATGTGGTGTGTGCGTGTGTGTTTGTCTTTATATACTTGTGCGAACCAACCCCTGATGGAACACCTTTCTTGTGTGGACATTTCATTGGTGACTTTCACCAATGCGGTTTCTGTACTATGATGGACTCTAAATCCTGACTGAAAATCCTCAAACAAATCATTCTTGTGCAAGTGGTCACATAACTGCTTTGCAACAGCTTTTTTCAAGGATTTTGGAAATAAATGGGAGATTGGATATTGGTCTATAATTAGCTAGGACACCTGGGTCAAGAGTAGGCTTTTTGAGTAGAGGTTTAATTACTGCAAGTTTAAAAGCCTGTGGAACATAACTTGTTAATAGAGAGAGGTTAATCAGATCTAGTATGGATGTGTTGATTAGGGCAAAGACGTCTTTGAGCAGCCTTTTCGGGATGGGGTCCAGGAGACATGTTGATGATTTAGATGAAGCAATTGTTGAGGTCAACTCAGAGAGATCTATTGGAGAGAAGCAGTCTAAGTATAAATGAGGTCTTACAGATGTTTCTAAAGCCATTGTAGTAGATGGCACATCTGTGAGAGCTGTGGGAGTGGTCCAACCAGTTTTTTTCTCTAATAGTTGTGATTTTATTTGTAAAGAAGCTCATGAAGTCATTGCTGCTGAGATCTAAGGGAATGTTAAGCTCAACAGCACTGTGGCTCTTTGTCAGCCTGGCTACAGTGCTGAAAAGAAACCTGGGGTTGTTCTTATTTTCCTCAATCAGTGATGAATAAAATGTGGTTCTGGCACTATGAAGGGCTTTCTTATATGTTATTAAACTATCTTTCCAGGCTATGAAAAACTCTTCTGACTTAGTGGAGTGCCACCTCCTTTCCATTTTTCGTGATGCCTGCTTTAGGGAGCGGAGCTGCGAGCTGTACCATGGGGCTAGCCTTCTCTGTTTCACTGCCTTCCTTTTCAGAGGGGCAATGGTATAAGTGTATTACGCAGGAAGGCTGCAGTACTATCAACAAGATTATCGATTTGTGTGGGAGTAAAGTTAAGGTGGCCTCCTTCCACTGTGTTGGCAAACGGCACTGAAGTAGATAAAGATGGAATTATTTCCTTAAACTTGGTAACAGCATTGCCAGATAGACATCTGCTGTAGTGGAATTGTTTCCCACATAGAGTATAATCCATTAATGGAAATTCAAAAGTTATTAGAAAATGGTCAGACAGAAGAGGGTTATGGGGAAAAACTATTAAGTGTTCAGTTTCGATGCCATATGTCAGAACAAGATCAAGAGTGTGATTAAAACAGTGAGTGGGTTTATTTACAGTTTGAGAGAAGCCAACTGAGATTAATAATGAACAGAATGCATTGTTGAGGCTGTCATTGTCAGCATCTACATGAATATTAAAGTCACCTACTATGATTATTTTATCTGTACTAAGCACTAAATCAGACAGAAAGTCTGAGAATTCACTTAAAAACTCTGAATAAGGAGCAGGTGGACGGTATACAATAACAAACAGAACAGGTTTTTGAGTTTTCCAGTTTGGGTGTGAGAGACTTAGAGTGAGACTTTCAAATGAGTTATAACTATGTTTAGGTCTAGGGTTGATTAATAGACTTAAGTCAAAGATCGCTGCCACGCCACCACCTCGGCCTTATTTGAAGTTATCTGAAGTAAGTATTTTAATGATGTTATTTATTTTAATTATTTTTTTATTTTAATGTCATTATTGTGAAGCATTGTGCAACTTGGACTACGTTCACACTGCAGGCTGAAGTAAGTATTTTAATGATGTTATTTATTTTAATTATTTTTTGATTTTAATGTCGTTATTGTGAAGCATTGTGCAACTTGGACTATGTTCACACTGCAGGCTGAAGTAAGTATTTTAATGATGTTATTTATTT